AGGGAGTACGGGGGAGCTGGTGGGGCAAGGTATCCTCACTTTGCTGCACAAAAAAGGAGAGATGATGGATATCAGAAACGACCGCCCTATAACGCTGCTTACCGTTGTTTATAAGATGTTGGCAAAAGCCTTGGCAAACCGGTTGATCCCGGTGCTGGACCAGATTATCCACCCGACACAAAGCGGTTTTGTCAAAGGCCGCAGGATTCAGGATAATATTTTGTTGGTCAATGAGCTCCTTAAGCTAACCACGCAGGATAAACAAAATGTGGCCGTGGTCTTCATCGATTTTGAGAAAGCTTATGACCACGTCGACTGGCTGTTTTTGGATAGTTGCATAGAAAAAATGAACATAGGCCCGGTATTCCGCCGCTGGACCAAAATTCTGCACCGCAACGCAACCACAAGCGTCCAGGTGAACGGCAGATTAGCGCCGTCATTTCCGCTGCAACGGTCCGTCCACCAAGGCGATCTGTTGGCACCCTTTCTGTTCATAATTGTGATGGAGGCGCCGGCAGCGAACCTCCGTGCCAACAAAGACCTAAAAAAGCTAAAGATCTCGGCCATCCCCGAAGAAGCAATTCCCATCTGTTCTATATTTGCGGACGATCTGACATTCATGGTGGATGCTACCATCGAAAACATGGAAGAGATCAGACGACTCTTTGACAGGTTCACAGCAGTCTCAAACATGACAGTCAATTGCGGTAACAAAACCCTGGGGTGGTGGAATCACCACCAAGGGGTGCGCCCCCCGGAGCTGCCCCGGGTTAAATGGTTCCCGGAATCGGCCCTGGTGAGAGTGCTTGGAATCCTGTTAACAGCAACAGGAAGACCTGCGTCGAGCGATGACTGGATTCTTAAACCTGCATTGGAGAAGCTGGTACGCTGGAATGATCAACACATCTCTTTGATCGGTAGGGTGTTAGTGATCAATAGCGTTGTGCTAGCCGCTCTATGGTACAAGTCTGCAGTATGGGCGCTTAGCAAGGATGCACTGCGGTCGCTTAGACGACAAATATCAGCCCTGCTGTGGAGAGGCAACAACGAGCTTCTGAATGTTATAAACAGGGTGGCCTGGCTATCGATAATCCAACCCAAAGATAAAGGGGGCTTGGGAATTTTGGATCCCGGTACTCAGACCACAACGCTAATGGTTCAATGGATTAAGAGGTTGGTGATCACACGGGACCTTCCTTGGTACGCCCTGGCGCTGGAACAGATCGCTCGGCTGGCCCCACAAGCACCGCAAACGGTTAACCCCCGACCCGGCTAGAAGACCGCTTCTGGTCCATACCACGACGCTCCCGTGCCGACCAGACCACGAGCCGGGGCGCAGCCCGTGGGGACCTGGCCAGGGACAATTTCTGGATCCGCTGCTTGCAAGCTTGGCGCCAGCTCCCGCTCCCAGATAAACCTGGACCAACCAGGTGGGAGGACGTGGCTAGACAACCCCTGTATGGGAACACAAATATCACGGACCGGAACGGAAGGATATTCTGCAGCTCAGACTCCCCCTGGAGCAGCTGGGTTAAGAAAGGCATAAAGACATTTGGGATTAAGAAAACAAGGACTGGAAAACGGCGCCACAGATGAGGACGTCATTGAAATACTGTCACAACATAGAAAGGAACCTGGAACAGCTGATCTTCGCAATCCCCCTGGATTGGGTGCGCATTTTGCGCAAGGGACCAAGGCTAGTGGAAGGGGATTGGGTTGCCGCTCCGGGAGACCCGGAGAGCGCAGGGAGCGTTGTAGAGGTACGGGCAGATGAAAAACTGGTAAATCTCTTCTATAAAGGAACAAGCAAAGTGCTAACCAGATACACCCCGGACGTGATGAGATGGTGACGGAACGCTGACCTGCACAGGATCCGGGCGCTAAAAAATAAGGATGATTGGATAGCATACCGGCCGCAGACCTGTCTTGCAGACCTCCCCTTTGACCCTGAGGAGTGGCCGTGGCACTCTGCACAAAGAACCCGCGTGACTAAGAATGTAATGCTTTTGTGCCTGTCCGTGAAGGCCACGTACCGTTTACTACGTCCCAGAGTAAACCTGAAAGGCATCATCAAGACCCGTTGGAGGTCTCATTTGAATGCGGGGGTTGATGCCATCCGCCCCATTCGGTGGTTCACCCTCACGCTCTAGGCCTGCAAAGCTGGCCTCGCTACAGTGGCATATAGAACACCGCTGCCTCCCCACCAACGACTGGCTAATAGATCGCACATACCTGGAACAGAAAGGCCTACCCATGGTGCAAGTCGTGTCACACGGCGTTCCCCCCCCGCAAGATCCCGGAAACAATTGAACACACATTCTTGCAGAGTCCAGGGGCTGTCCTTACATGGCGATCGTGGGACAGAATCTGTAACCTGTTGGATACCGGCTCTACCTGGCCATGGGACTGGAGGGCGATTCTATCCGAGACATGGACCTCCCCCTCAGACAGTTCCTTCGAAAACAATACGTTTAAGATAGGGAGGAGAGCCGTTATGAGGGCCATCTGGAGGAGACGCTGTATGCATGCCATGGAAGGGGTCCGCATAGCCAGGGAGGAAATGACGGACATGGTCAAACAATATGTACACCAAGATCTTATGGCACAATGGCAGAAAGTTAAAAGTCAGCTGGACATGTTCCAGACACAAAAAGATATAGAACAGAAAATCCAACAATTTTCAGGGGACTGGCTGGGCAGCAAGAACGGAGGTCGGATTGCCTTCATCAAGTGGGATGGCGGTTGCACCCAGGAAGGTAATGAAGGTATCGAGGAAGGCAATCAAGGGATGATCAAGAGAGACTATCACATCTGCTTCAGAGATTGGACAACAGTGGATCAAAGGATCCCGTTGCGGCCTCCCTCGGACTTTCCTGACCCTTTCCTCCCCCATCAGCTGACCATGGTAAACATGCAATGGTATGGAGCGGTACGAGGAGGCCAGCAGCATCAATAGATGGTGTATCTCAAAGGTAGGGGGTGGGAGGAACCAGGGTGACATGCAATGGTATGGAGCGGTACGAGTAGGCCAGCAGCATCAATAGATGGTGTATCTCAAAGGTAGGGGGTGGGAGGAACCAGGGTGTAGCAGCAGGTATCTGGCGCCAGGTTCAGGGTGAAGAGGTTCTCCCCCCCCC